TGAGAGAGAGAGAGAGTGAGAGTGCTTGGGTGGGGGGAGGGGCAGAAAGAGAGGGAGACACAGAATCCGAAGCAGGCTCCAGGCTCTGAGCTGTCAGCACAGAGCCCGGCGCGGGGCTCGAACTCAGGAGCCATGAGATCATGACCTGAGCCGAAGTCGGACGCTCAACCGACTGAGCCACCCACGCGCCCCTGTATTTTTTTTAACTGGTTTATCGCCTAAGCACATAAGCTTCACATGGACATGTGTTTTGTTCAATTGCTGACATGGGCACTCAGTAAATATTTGTTAAATGAATAGATAAATAGATAAATGTGAGGGATGGCATAAGGATAATCTAGGGTATACTCTAAAGTCGTTTTCCAGAAAGAATAATGGTTGCCAGGGGCTGGGGGAAAGGGGATGGGGATTTACTGTTTACTGGGTGTGGAGTTTCCGTTTGGGAGGATGAAAAGTTCTGAAGACGGATGGTGGTACTGGTCGTTCAACAACGTGAATGCATTTAACCCACGGAAGTATACACCTCGACATGGTACGCATGGCGAGGTTTATGTCACGCATGTTCTATCACAGCGAAATCAGTTGCAAACCCTGGTACATTGGCAATTATTACGAGGAACAAATTACCTACGACCCAGCTCACACCCGAGGAACCTGCCCATTTACGGAAACATCGGTTATTTTCATCAACAAAGCTCTGGTCCAGTTGTTGGTTGAATTCATTTGTAAACATGTTCATTCGGTCACTTCTTCTTCTTCACCACGGAGGCAGCTGGGGCGGGACAGCTCATCCACTTGGCATGAAAGCAGCAGGGAAACAGTGCTGTACTGTGCACCGAGCTGTTTCGTACGATAGCAGAAATAAACTCACAGGTTGAGACTCCCTGCACACACACACACACACACACACACACACACAGAGTATCAGGAAACAGCCTGTCCATTTTGGCTTCAGAGGCAGGGATTTTGATTTCCTTGGCTTCTGAGCTGTTCTTGGAGCAGGGCCATCCAGGGAAACTGAGCAAGTACATGGGTCCATCGAACTTGGGCCGGATCCATCAAGGACACAAAAAACAGACTATCCAGCCCTCTCCCCCAAGAGGAGCAGACAAAAGTGTCGTTGATATTGAAGCTGTGGAAAGCTTCAGAAGGCCCCGTGGGAGGAAGCTTGGCATGAGCGGGCAAACAGCTCCGACTGACCCTGGAAGGGAGCACCAGGCTGGGGTCCCATCCAGCGCCTCTGCTCGGCCCTGAGTGCTGACATCCTGTGCTTTCTCAGGGAGCGAGAGAGGGAGGCAGCCGGCCCAGCAGGCTCTGCCCGGTAGCTTTCCTTGATGTCTGAGGAATTCTTGCAAAAGGACGCCACCCATGGAAAAATGCTTACGATAAAACGTTAAATGGAAAAGTCAAGATAAAGTATATATATACATAAAACATCTGTGTGAATATAATATAATGGAAATATAAATCACATCTATGTGGTTTTTTTAATTGCATTTATGTTTAAAAAAATTTTAAAGCATGTATTGAAAAACAAAATCAGGGGTGGCGATTGGCTGCCTAGACTCTTGATCTAGGGGTCAGGAGTTCAATGGGGCACCTGGGTGGCTCAGTCGGTTAAGCGTCCGACTTCAGCTCAGGTCACGATCTCGCGGTCCGTGAGTTCGAGCCCCGCGTCGGGCTCTGTGCTGACAGCTCAGAGCCTGGAGCCTGCTTCGGATTCTGGGTCTCCCTCTCTTTCTACACCTCCCTCTCTCTCTCTGTCTCTCTATCTCTCTCTAAAAAATAAATATTAAAAAAATGTTTCAGGGTCGTGAGTTGAACCCGTACATCGGACAAAAACAATTGTTTTTAATTAAAAAAATTTTAAAAAGGAAAGAAAAACAAGACCAGGAGGAAATACATCACAATATTACCAGTGAGGCTCTCTGGGTGGTTGGACCACAGGTTTATCTCTAATTTACATTTTTCTGTGGTTTAAAATTTTTCTGCAACTAGAATGTGTTATTTAAGTGGTGATACATTTTGAACTGTATCAACCCAGTAGCCCCTCGGCTTGTGGGGGATGCGGTGTGGGCTACGGAAAAACGGGTGGGGAATGCCCTGGGAAAGATTTGCCCTTTGCAAAAAGCTTGCTGCCCAGGCGAAGAGCGGAAACGTCTGGAAGGCCGGAGGTGGGGGTACCCCCCCTTGATTTTTGCTCAGTAGTGTTTCTCGAAGTTATTCCATATTTCCCAAGCATGGGCCTCCTGATCAAGAAACACGGTAGCAGACATTTTCCCCCGTAGAACACGGTCCAGACGTCCAGCGCTGAATTAGCTTCTTGCCTCGGTTGCCAGCCCTACGTCCCTCACCTGACATCACCCTCTCCCCGAAGGGCTCCCCTCTGCCTGGTCCTCGGATATCCACGTCCTGAGGCTCCAGAGAGTGTGGCCTACGTTCCGGGGCTGCTGGTTGTGTTCGGGCCCCACTCTGCCCCTGCTTCCATCCGAACCATCCCTCGGGCCTGCTCAGCCACATCGGGACCACGTCGCTAACACCAGCCTGCAGCTGTGGAAAATGACATAGACAGTTTGTCCTTAGAAACACTTGGCTTCTTCCCTGGGAGGAAAAACTGAGCTCATCCCAAGGAACAGCAGAGAGCTGGGGACGGTGCAGTAATCTCTGGGTTCCGCAGAAATCTACTTCTCAGCCTCCCCCCCTCCCCCGTCATTATTAGATTTTTGCACAGCCCCTGATTTCCCACAAAACGGATTTTCCTCACATGGACGCTGTAGGGAAGCTGTATTTACGGCCACCTCAGAAGAGCAAAACCATTCCAGATGCTTCGTCAGAATTCTCACCGTGCGGTCGGGTGGGCTGCATGGAGCCTCCGAAGGTAACGTCGAGAATGTTCCAGTTGCTTCGGAAGGTGGTCTAATCGTCAAGAGTACTGTGAGGAGACATGGGTACGTCGGAAGCTGGGTGAGTGCGAGAGACCGGCCCTGGCTTGAGAGAAGTGTGTGGTAAGGAGGTGAGGAGAGCTAGAAAGTTCCTCCACTCACCGCCTCCAGGTGTAACACACACACACGCACATGCACACGCACAGGCACATCACAGCACTTGGGAACAGGGGTTGCCCTCCTGCTAGGCTCTCTTGAAGTGTAGCTCCAGAGACAGAATGAAGGAGAGCAAGGCGGGGCGGAACGTTTCAACGTTAAAGCGGTTCCTGGGGTGCTTGGGTGGCTCGGTCGGTTGAGCACCTGACTTCTTTTTTTTTTTTTTTTTTTT